TTAAATGACATTCATTGATCCATCTAGGCCTCAAGATTTTATTCTTATATCTGGCACCGAGGGATTTGTGGTTCATTTTTTTCTCATTTTTCTTCTTTTGCATAGAATTTATGATTTTTAAATTCAGATGTGGACAGTGGCGAAGAACAACGAGAGCCCTCCCGATGGATTTATGTGTCCAAGTGGTTTGAAAATCTTGGTGGAGTAATATGATACCTTGTCATTTCCAGCAGAAAATGAAAGAGTTCTTTCTGAGGCATTCATCCAACAAAATTATTGTTGTAACACAATATCATCCCATGTGAATAGTGTATTTGTACATAACATGATTATTCCTTGAAAGATCAAGTCTAGGTATGTGTAGGTGCCATGAATGATTCCTATAGTAGTTGGACTAGGGGTGGACTGGGTCCGGCCCGGGCTCCGGGTCATAAATATTCAGGCCCGGTACCGGCCCGAGTTAAAACCGAGACCGGGTCGAGTCGGACAAATTTATTTTTATTTTGACTTTTAGAATTAATTCGACCCCCCCCCCCCTCCCCACCCCCACTCCCCACCCCCACCACCCCCCACCCACCCCCCAAACCGCCCAACTAGACTTGCACAAAAACGGGTCGCACGCCCGGGCCGCCCAACTCGCCCGCACAAATGGGCAGGTTTGGGCATATATATTTATCCACCAGCCTGGCCCGGCCCGCAATAGCAATTGGGCGGACTTGGGTTAGGGTGTGGGCTCGTTCAGACCGATAAGCCCTGCCCGCTACATTTAGTGTGGTGTGTGTGTGTGTACTAGTCTATTTTTTGTGAATGTGATGAAAGGCCTATAAACATTGTAAGCATATTAACAATTTTTTAAATGTTGTAATATTATTTAAAAAGTATTAAAAGAAATTATATTATTTTGAAAAATAAAATTTTCCCGATCCGGGCGGCCCAATAGACTACCCGGCCCGCTCATATGGGCGGGTACGGACATGTAGTTAGGCCCGTTTTTGCAGGGCGGGGCGGGCCCGCCCACACATAATGGGCAGAAAATTTATAAAAATCCCGGTTCGAACCCGTTTTTGTGCAGGTCTATGCCCAGCCCCACCCGAAAATTAAAAAAGAAAAAAGAAAAACAAATTTGGACCCAGAACGACCGGGCCGGTCCACCTATTTTGAAGCCTGTAGCCCCCCTCTATAAGCCCCGGTTCGGGCTCTAGTCCCGGTCCCAAAAAACTGTCCCAAAATGTTTAGCCACGTCTCAAAATTTGGACCATAATTTTGATTTATATAATATCATGAAAATTTTAAATTTTATACTATTTTAAAAGTACTTTTAACAAAAAAATCCTATCATTTTTATATTATACATAATTTCCAATAAATGTATATTATCGATCAAAGTTTTGAATTTGACTATTTATTTTGGGACAGAGGTAGTATTAACTATCCAAATGTAAACACCACAAAAAGTAATATTTTATCATAAATGTTACGGAGTACTTAATTAACAATGATCTAAAAAAATAGCTATTTACTTAACATAGGTAAAGGATAATAAATACTCCCTCCGTCCCCCAATTAAGTTCCTCATTGCTTTTCACAGTTATTAAAAAAAATTAATGAGGGGTAAATTTTACTATTTGACCACTATTTGGCACTGTTTTGAATCTTTTGATGTAATTAATTTGCCAAATAATGAATGTGGAACTTAATTCAGGGACTACCCAAAAAGAAAAGGGAAACTTAATTGGGAGACGGAGGGAGTACTATTTTTACCGACTAAAACCATATCTAAACATTAAACTTTTACGAAAAGACTAGAAAAAATACAGATCCTAAACTATTTGTATCTTATTGAAAGAATACTGGTAATACAACATTTTCTGTTGTGTATTTATTTATACATGAACATGTCTGAATCCCAATTCTACACAAATGATCATAAACATAAGGGCTTTTGCCTTCAATATTACTCCCTCCGTCCCTATATAAAAGGGACACTTTCCTTTTCGGTCCGTCCCGATATAAAAGGCACATTTCCCTTTTTGACAAACAAAATGGTGCAAAACAGTGCCAAACAGTGTCAAACACTATCCAAACAATGTCAAACAGTGTCTAAACAGTGCCAAACAGTGTTCACCCTTAAAATGTCTAGAAACGCAAATGTGCCTTTTATATTAGGATGGAGTAGGGGTGGACTCGGGCCGGGCCAACCGGCCCGGAACCGGACCGGCCCGCTACTGTGCGGGCCCGGACCGGCCTGGTCACCCGGTTCTTAACCGGTTCGGGCCACCCGGCCCGGTGGTATAGCGGTCCGGGCCCGGGCCTCCATTTTAGGGAACCGGCCCGGCCCGGCCGGGCCCGGTTCGGGCCTCCAACGGCCAAATTTTTTAAAAAAAAAAAAAATAATTTGAAGAGGCTCCTAGCCGTTGGGAAGGCTCCCAAACGGCTATATAGCCGTTGGGAGCATAGGAGGGGGGGTCTGGGGGGTTAGGGGGGTGGGGGTGGGGTATCAAAAAAAAATCTATTTAAACTCCTATTTTCTCTACATTTTTTACACCTCTTCTTCTACAACTCTTCCTACTCTCTAATTCTCTACTCTAAATCTCTCATATTCAATCATCTTCATTCTTCATCTTCTCCAAATTCTTTCTACATATATATATAATTTATATAATTATTATATCTACTTATATATTAATTATCTATTTATAAATATATACTTATACACATTCATATTATAATTCTTTACACATATTATAAGTATATATACTATACACATTCATATTCACTTGATATTTAGTTATTATCCATACTATTGTTATTTACTTATATTTACATATTACATTTAGTTAATATATACTTATATATATATATATAGTAAGTTATATATATATATTATATATATATATACTATATATATATATATATATATATATATATATTATTGAGTTAGTAAGTTAGTATTTTAAGCATGGTTAGTATGTGATCTCTTATCTATATATATCTATATATATATATATATATATATATATATATATATATATATATATATATATATATATATATATATATATATATATATATATATATATATATATATATATATATATATTAAAGTATTAAGTATAAGTGTATTACTCATCTTATAGTAATATACTTATATATTATATACTATAAACATTATATTATATATTACTTATAATATATTTATACATTATATATACTATATATACTTATACACATTCATATTTATTTGATATTTAGTTTTTATACATACTATTATTATTTACTTATATTTACATATTACATTTAGTTAATATATACTTATATATTATATATATATTAAAGTATTAAGTATAAGTGTATTACTCATCTTATAGTAATATACTTATATATTATATACTATAAACATTATATTATATATTACTTATAATAATAGTTAATTGTTAGACTTCTAATTTATCTATTAAATTAGTTAATTGTTACATTTCTCTACATTTCTCTTTAAAGAAAAAAATAGTTAAAGTAGTATATTTTTACATTTGTCATATTTCAATTAGTTAAAGTACTTAATTGTTTCATTTGTCATATTAAAATTAGTTATTTCATACATTGCTCATTAAAGTAAAAAAAAAACTAGTTAAGTTTTACATTTGTCATAATAATATTAGTTAAACTACTTAATTGGTACATTTTTCATATTAATATTAGTTACTTGCTACATTTCTCATTAAAGTAAAAAAAGTAGTACATTTTTACATTTGTCATATTAATATTAGTTAAAGTATACATTTCTCATTAAGGTAAAAATAACTAGTAAATTTTTACATTTGTCATTTTAAAAACTACCTAAAGTAGTTAATTGTTAAATTTGTCATATTAATATTAGTTAAACTACCTAATTGTTACATTTCTCATATTAATATTAGTTAATTTGTACATTGCTCATTAAAGTAAAAAAAAAAACTAGTTAATTTTTACATTTCTCATATTTATATTAGTCAAACTAGTTAATATTTAGTTAATTGATACATTTCTCATTAAAGTATTAATTAGAAGTAGTTCGATTTGTATACTCATATTTTAGTTCGAATTTGCAATAGTTTTCTTAGTCACATTTTATTATTACTATTGTACTCATATAAAATATTTGATATCATTTAATATTTGTTCAATTTTAAAGATGGAACGTGGTAGACATTCTGTAGATGTGGGTAATCTCCAACACAACCGCAAGAGGGAGATTGCGTCGACTCGTCCTAATTCACGCAAAGGCAAAGGTAAAGCGCGGGCCGAGTCTTCTTTTCAAAGTCGAGATGATTTTGAAACGGATTACCAACGGAGAGATGATATGATGATGTCCGACGAGCATCTACAAAACCTATTGTCCCAAAACGATCCACGCTTTGCACAAGAACAACCCATCCCGACAACCATTGATGAAGAGGAGCTCGAGGATGACGATGCGGAGGAGGACGCGGGGGGCGACGGGACTCACGGCACCCCGGATGATGAGCAAGACTTGGACGACGAGGGCGGTTCAACCCAAACTGGTAAGAAATCTAAATCTCCTATTATTGAAAACAATTTTACAAAAAGGAAAGACAAAAATACCGAAAAATGGTACGCAAGTTGCAATCATTGCGGCAAAGAGTATAGCTTGGGAACTTCTGGCGGATACGGGAGTCTCACAAGACATCTTAAGTCCGCCCATCTTGTGGAGTATGCGAAAATAGACAAGGGCAAGGGCTGGTTCGGGCCTTGAACGGAGTGACATTTGTTAGGATAGTGACATTAATATGTTTCTTGATTGAACTTTTTTATTATTACATCTATGCATTCATATATACATTAATTAATAATTTTAACGACTCATATGCTGATGTTATTACTTAATAATGTATGTCTCGTGCATCGCACGGGTGAGAATATACTTTTTACATATAGACTATTTTAAAAAAATACAAATCCAAAAATATTTGTATCTCATTGAAAGAATAGTGGCACTACAACATTTTCTGTTGTGTATTCTTACACGAACCTATGTAGCACGGAAACTCTCGGGGAGAGTACTTTTCCTGTTTCGGAAACTCTCGGAAACTCTTTGAAAACTCTCCAAAATCCAAATAAGCCTTTTTTGAACAAAAGTTGACGTTTCCCGTTTCCCGTTTCCCGTTTCCTCATGGTATTCGCGTTTCCGTGCAACATAGACACGAACATGTCTAAATCTCAGTTCTACACAAATGATTAAAAACATAAACAAGTCCTAAGAAGTTCAGATTTTTTTTATCAAAAGCCTCAATCTTCAACTGTAACAGCTTAGAAGCAACTCTATGCAACACAAGAGTTTATACTTATTACAGCAGTGTTTGAAAGTAGGTGATCTGCTAGATGTCGACCCTCTGGCTCACTGAGATACCTCTTTGACTCTACATAACTACGGAGCTCAGTGACCACTATGTGTGACTGAAGACCTTCGTCCAAAGCTTTCAAGAAGTCTCTAGTGAGGATGTTCAATAGCTTCTCAAAATGGTGCTTATATCTTCTGTGTAGCCCAAAACCAGCAACCTGCATGCATGTAGTGAAAACCACTTGTAAACATTTTTCGAATCCGTGTATTACAACATCAAAAAGATCTTCTGATCAACATACTTCAAGAAAAGCGTTTAAGGCAGCAGCAGTGTACACGTTTGCCGGGACTGCATTTAAGAGTCTAGCCAACCATGCCCAACCTTCTCGATGCCCATGCATGTTCTGGAACCCTTCGACTTCAGTCTAAAGACATCATCTTATGGAATTAGTAACTTTATCTCATTTGGTTTCTATAATAGAATTACTACAAAATTACATAAGGGTCTAATTTGAATCAAGTGATTTGGAGGTTTGAATCTATATCTTAAGAGAAAGAAGCCTCTAAAACAAATGAAGTGTTATTGAATGTTATACGATCACCTATTATTTCATTTATTTTTTTAAAAAATCTCAAATAGATATTCCCTCTTCCCTAGCAATCGTCCCGGTGTGTCTCAGATATATGTTGAAAAAAGAGCAATATTGGCACACATTTTCTTCAAAAGAAAAGACGAAGATTATTTAGAAAGAGCCAAATAGATTATTTCAAGAAGGATGGAGTATATAAGATGTTGCTCAATATAAGATCAAAGCATTGACAGGTTTCAAAAATAGGACTGACTAAAAGAATAAGTTGATTTAAACTTCCCAAACTAGGAGTGAAATATTTTGGAAATAAAACAATGATAATCCTATTTTTGAACTTTATCATCAATGTTTTGGTCCTATTTAGGGTTTTTTTCTCCTCGGTAGAGCCCTCCAAAACCCTGTATCCAAATTAAGGAGGTAGAAAACCTGAACAATAGCTCCGTATAGTTTCATGTAGGCACATAACCGATTTAGGTAACTACTATCAGTTTCAATCTTCCCATCTTCTTCTGCTTGATATCCAATAGCTGTACAGTAAGCTCTTTGGTTCAAGAAGTCTGACTGAAAAAACAGAAAATTGGAAATTCAACCGTTTAACAGAAGGTACAGCAAAAAGAAATGGACGAGGGCTAATGAATGTGGTACATTGGTGAGTACGAATCAAAAGTGCGTGTACCCAATGAGATAACCAAGTCATAACTCAAACCTTGTGACTGCTCGGTTACACAACAATACTTTAAACGGCGTGCCCCCCCCCCCCCCCCCCCCCCCGCAAAGAGGTAACCAAGTCAAGTTATGCCAAAAAGGCCAACAGTAGACCACTCTGAAGTCTGAAAGGCCAACATGCTTGATGGAAGCCAAACAGATGGGGTAAATACCTGAGAGTACACTAAATGCTTTGGAACTGTGTAGATGCAATTTTTGTTCAATTCAGCAAGGATAATATCCATAGCAAGAGGAACCTGCCATAAAAGCAGAACGCAGGAATACAATCATAAAGGAGAAGCTTTTAATCTTTACTGAATTGGTTGCCTCACTTGTAAGCCATTCAACATTAAAGGTAGGGGTGGAAATTATTAAGGTAAGAATAAAAGGACACAACAAAAGTATGACAAACAGTGCCTCTATCAGTATACATGCATGGAATGACTATTGACTACTAATTCATGTTGCTTAATTTTTCTAAAAGCAAATAAAAAATCCTTATCTTAATTAATTAATTCAAATTACTGATCATGTGGCACATGTGGAATCAACACATGATGCTTTACCGAGGCCTTCAGGGGTATCATGGATGCACATGGTTTAGCAGCATGGGCTGAGTTGTAAAATTGTAAAAAAAAAAAAAAGATTTAGACCTGGGTGTGCCTAAATATGGGTGTCACAGAATCATAGTATGGTAGTGAAAAGATATTGGTGTTTATGTTGGGGTGATTATATATAAGTGGCTCATGTATATCCTGTGAGTATTGAGTATGATAAAAGTGTATGTTGTTCTATAATAGTAGTAACATGACTTTTAAATTATGAAAGAGTATCATCAAAGAAAATAAACTCAGGAGTTGCAATTTGGCCAATAAATTGTACTTTGCATTTTGCAACAAAAATATTTTTATGCAACATTAACTTATTAGTCTTGGGAGCAGTCTTGTCAAAATGTCAAGGGAAGGCTTGCTTCTTATACGCTTGGCTGCCCCTTTTTTTATTACTCCCTCCGTAACATTCATGTCCTCTCACTTTTCTTTTTCAACCGTGACATTCATATCCCATGTCTAAATCTTCCTATCATATCTTGATTACCCTCAATAAATCTGAAAATAATACACTATTACAGATACATTTTTTGGATTTATCCTTCATTCCAGCACATTATTTCATTATCTTCAAATCATACCCTCAATAATTTATTTCTCCTTTCATTATTCATAATCTCACCTACCTTTAAATGGGAAGATAGGAATGTCATGGAGGTAGTAATTTATTAGTGTTTTTTTTTCAATATAAAGTAGTAGGTAAGAATGCTAAAAAAATAATATTGTAGACCGTGAAATTCAAAACAATAAGTTTATCTTGAGACGATATTGGCTCTAGTTACCACAAAATAGCACTTAGCAAGCAAGAAATATAATTTCTTACCTGAGATGTAACAAGAACAATTACACGGCCATAGCTATAAGGAATACTGTTAGAATTTCCAAGCGCAAGAACCACATACCGGTTGATAATCTGCAACATTGCACAGACAGATACAAGATGAAAAAGCCATGCGAGAGAGTACTTCGTTAGATGAAGAGGCTAAAATGCATAAAAATAGAAAGGGTACTGAAAAGTGTACAAAAAGATGAAAAAGTGATAATTTGGCCTGAATTGAAAGGGGTGCTGTTTTTTCTATGCAGAAATTTGGACAAGTATACTGCCCAAGACCCCAAGTAATTTAGATAAATAGGGAATTTGAAAGTCAATTGAATCCCTTAATAATACATGAACAATTTTCTTTTTAGAATATTACGAAAGAGAAGATTACAATGTAAGAACGTTCATGTCATTTAAGACATTCGTAGTCGTCAAAAGAGAAAGTGGAAAAAATAGTGAAAAACTAGTTGGAAAGCAGGAGACTAAAAAAAAAAGAGGGAGTAATAATATACTAAAACTACTACGTATTAACCAAGAGAAGAAAAAGGATAAGGTACACTAAATTAAACCAGCAAACATGAGAAGGTTAGAGTAAAATGTTGATTGATCGACCTACCTCTTTCACAAAGATTGCAATGCTTATGGTAGGATATGGTGAATAATCTATTAACTTAATCAAATTGTCCGCTTTGGCCCTGTGGAAGAGTATAGCATGTCAGGAGTGGCTTATATAGAAACAATAATAAATACCATAAAGTGAAGATTGATAATGCAAGAAAAAACTGAGTATTTTAAAGCAAGTAGAAATGGCCCGATAGCCTAATTAATAGGCAACCATCTCACCTAACATTTTGTTCCAAACCTGATATGGTTCTTATCCTTCTACGGATTTCAATCTCATGTCTTTTATATTCCTGCGCACAATGATGTTTGATCAATACTATGTAATGATATACTCAAAACGTAACATCTCATACAATAGATGACCCACTCCTTTGTTTTTGGTAGGGTATAATATACTTTCACAGTATTCTGTGCAAAAAAATAAACATAAATGTTGATTGCGAACATGCTTGTCACGGCGGTAAGTCGAGTCGCGGCGCCACCTGACCGCCATATCGCCTAGGCGACAAGGCGCCCGCCTAGGCGACAAATAGGCGACTAGTCACCTATATGTGTATATTATATAATATATTATATATAATTATATATTTACATATTTAATTATATTTTTACTTATATATTATGTATAATATGTTACTAACTAAAATGTATATAACTTAGAATTGAAATCCACAATTAATAATTAAAAACATTATATCATATAGTGATATAGTTATACTCTGCGATAAGTAAAGCTTCTACAGAAAATAGATTAAACACTGTTGGATAGTTTATATACACTTATTTTAAAATATCTAGATTTTAAAAACACTGTTGTATAGTTATATATATTCAGAAGCCTTAGAAGTTGGGAACCTGCGAATCCCTGCAATACTGTATTTAAGAAAATAAGATACTCTTAAACAGGGATGGATTTAGGGGGGGGGCGCGGGGGGGGCGACCGCCCCCCCTTGGAATTTCAAAATTTTCTACCATATATGTAATATTTTCATAAAACTTTTAATTAGATTCGCCCCCCTTAGCTTTTAATTTTCAAAATTAATATATAGTGTTACATAATGTAATACTTAATTGAAGATTTAAAAGAAGGAACATCTAAAATAATTACATAACTTAAACAAATAAACAATAGAATAACTCGTTGTTTAAGATTTAGGATACTTATTATATAAGAATTCCTAGTTTTGTAATGTTTAATTATCTTTATTAGATAACAAGTACTTGATTTTGTAAAATATATATCAAACAATATTAAATATCAGACACACTAATTACACAGTTTTTAGATCACGTGAAATAAATCCAAAATATAATTGTTTATTGACATTAAATTACATAATTCATTTACTTCTTGCTTTCTAAAAATAATTTATTGCATAGATAATAAACTTTAAATTATTATAGCATTAATACAAATATTAAAATATAATATGCACCATATATGTGTGTGTATGTGGTGCATATTATTCTAAAAATAATAATATCATACATACTACTATTGTAATATTAAGAAAACTTCTCATGAGTCATGACTCACGAACACCATCCTTGGTGGCCGGACAAAAATTACAATTCAATAATAACCGATTCATGAGGTTAAACAATGTAGAAGTTATTAAAAATGTATTGGTTGATGTCTTTGTCATCGTCTAATTTAAACTTAGAATGTACTACTTAATAGATTTAAATGTCATTGGGGATGTGTATGTATTAATGTCATTTTTTGAATAAAATTAGCCGCATAGCCCTATAGTAGCGGAAAAAATTCGCCCCGCTACACTAGGGAAAAAAAATTCGTCCCACTACACTAACGAAATTTTTTTCACCCCCTACACTACCGAAAAATTTCGCCCCCCTTGAATAGAAATCCTGGATCCGTCCCTGCTCTTAAATATACTCTTAAATATACTCTGCGATATAAAAATATCTAGATTAAAATAGAAGTATCCAGAACCTGAGAACGAGAAAGTCGTATGCTACAGTGCTACTCTGCGACTTTGTCTTCTTGCTAGACTGCTTCCTGCGATGCTTTTTCGTCCGTATTCCGTAAGGTCGTAACTCCTAAGGTAACTATGGGCTTAGCTTTTTAATTAAAATCTGAAGCCTTAATTAAATCCTTAAAGGGCTTTAGCTTCCTAAAAACGAATGAAATTAGCTTCCTAAAAATAATTAAGGCCTAAATCTATTTTTCTTTTTAACCGGGTTTGGGAGTTCTGGCCCAGTTTTCTGCGGCTTACGAATTAGGCGAGGAATCTGTCGCCAACACAACGACATGGCGACGACTGTAGCCAGACTCGACCGATTTTCTTCTGGCGAGGCGAGTGAAGCCGGCGAGCTTCCTCCAGCGCCTGGACGCCTAGTCGCCGACTAGGCGACGCCGTGACAACCATGATTGCGAAACTTTCTATTCAAAGATGTGCCACAATCTGTTTTGTCCACCGTTTAGGTCTATTCAAGAAATATTCGTGAGATCTTTAACATTGCATATTAAAAATAAAATGATTTTTTACAACCTTTCAGGAATCTGAACCCTGTGTGAGCCACACTACAACAACATTAAATGATTAAATATGCACATCAGTTGTTCATACATTCCCACACATGAAAAATTACAAGCAGAAAGCAAGCTTGAACTTCATTATCATTACCGTTTCAGTGCCTAACCCCAACGCCTCGTTCTTTACAGTTAATTCCATATACAGCATAGATCTTTCCTTCTCTATATCCAATGCGTTTTTTGCAGCTTTTATACTACGTCCTGGTACTAGTAGCTGAAACTGGGAAATCCCTGCATGGTGCTCATATCTATTATAATCTAAAAGCAAAAGGATTTTGGGGATTGGATTCCTGCTCAGATATATCACCATCAATACTTTATTTTTTTTAATTGTGAAAATAAATGCAAAGAAATTAAATGGGAGGTGGTGCGCAGGGCTCAAGTAAATTGGGAGTGTTCTTATCGGTTAAAAAAGGAGGTGGGCACTGTTGACAGGAAAGAGGGTGGTGGGTAGGGCTCAAATGAATTTTTTGTGTTTCTATTGGTTAAAAAAGGGGGTGGGCGCTGTTAAGTGGGATTTCATGCATCTCAATCTCAGCTATAAAAGCAACAATTCGTAATGACAATTCTCACACCAATACGCATATCAAGCTGAAATAGCAAAAGAAGCATATATTCCATTATTGCATTTGACTTTGACCTTTGCCCATGCTTTCAAGTTGGGACTTCCATACTTCTTGATTAGTCATTTCAGCTGACCGGAAGTGTGCTAAACCTATACACCAAATCAATTAACCCATTAGTTAGCAACCAGAGTTGAGAGTAAAAAATTGGCTATAAATATAAACTTCCTGCAGGCTGTTTCATTCACACTTAAGCCCCTTGCCAGCAACCTCTCCCTTAAGCTCGGTATTTCATCAATATGGTTGGAGCTCACAGGGTGTCATGTGAGCCAGCTCACAACGGTTACCTTGAAGTCACAGGAAATTGTTTGCCATAATGTGAACTGTCAAGGTTCTACATGTCATACGTTTTAATTCCCATCTTTATTTTAATATAAACTTTTCTGTTCTATAACTGTTTTTTTTTTCAGATTTAGCTATATTACCGGTTTAGTGGTCAACCGAATGGTATATGAGCCTATAATCTTATATAGTAGAAATTGGGGTTAAACTTTATTATATCAATGTCCCAAGTCACTACGGTTTATTATATATGATTGTTAGAATACTTAGGTTTATTATTCAAACATTTCTTTCAAATGCACCTGTTGATTGTGATGAATTATGCACATCCTGTCCGAACTCCGCTGTCTGGTCTGAGACCTTGTGATGGCCAGTAGCAATATTCTTAACATTCTCAGAGGTATTCTCAGAGGTATTCTTAACATATTCTTTTCTCTGAGCTTCCAGTTCTGCTGTTTTTTCCTTTTTCTTTCCAACATCCTCTATTACCTTAGGCTGTACCTGATAGCAAAAAGAAATACATGAGTACAAACTAATACCAATGATTCTATTTTGTTCATTTTCTGTCAAGACCACAACACTGATCTTGCCAGTGCGCCCGTATTATTGATTTTGTTGTACTCTAAGGCTAATATACTTAGGTTGATGCAGGAGTGGCCTTCAAGTGCATATATGATTGTAGAAAAACGTGTCATCTATTTCTAATTATTAAATGATGTACATGTGTAGTCGGGTAGATAAGATTTTAGAGTTGTTAGAATTCTTTAATTTGTGGATAAGCTCGGAATTAGATAGATCCTATTTTTTATTATCTGCACAGGGAGTTTGTTATATGTACTATGTATTTATACTTGCTATAACAATCAAGGAAGATTAATTCTTAAAACCTACATGGTATCAGAGCTTCAGTTTAAACAACATGATGGTAGAAACCAGTGATTCTTATTCATCCCACACTATCAACCCTACCTCCCAAATTAGCCCTATGACAAATTACCAGTCCTCTATTCATTCATCTATGCTAATCACTAGCCATAGATTGAATGGAAAAATTACTTGGAATGGTCTCAATTTGTCAAGCTCACAATTGATGGGAGGGGAAAACTGGGCTACCTAACGGGAGAAATCAAAGTGCCTGGTGAGGAGGGCTACAGTACATGGAGGTCAGAAAATTCACTTGTGACAGCCTGGCTTCTCAGCTTTATGGATACATCAATTGCCAAACCTCATATGTTTATGAAGACAGGAAAAGAAGTCTGGGATTCCATAAAAGAAACCTTCTCAGACCTTGAAAACTCTTCTCAAATTTTTGAGTTAAAACCCCTTCTCTGGCAGTCCAAACAAGGAGATAGAGATGTAACCAGCCCCTCCAGCGAGTGGTGCATATACAGCATCCACTGGATCTTCAAATCTCAAGTTTTTCGAGCCCTTTTACTCAAAAAGGTAGAACATCTCTAGAAGAATAAAATAACTATAAGCCCTAAAGTGATGGTATTATATAAAGCGTTACACTATGGCTGCTATAGTGAACTAGGTGAGCTCTTATACACACTTCCATACAGAAACACACTCACATTAGGGATCATCGTGAGCAGTTTGTTACAGCTGCTAATTTCCCCATACAGGCAGACACCGTTCTACAGGCAAAATCTAAAGCTCTATGCAAGTCCATACAAAGCTACATCGGTGCAAAGAAACAGGATATTCAAAACTTGTTGGGGAGCTTGATGCCATTACACTATTACATGACTTCAAAGGAAAACCTTCACCTCTGACATTAAAGGGACTCACCAGTGATTGCAAAGATCGTATAAACACTAAAAGCTCAAATACAGCATTTTATGAGGGAAGGAGATTGTGCTGTCCTCTCATTAGCTCTTGGGTTAAATTTTAAATCCTTTACTACTTGCAATAGCTATAGGGATCTACCATATAGTATTAAGTGTGGTTTTCTCTCTGACTGGGAAGGCATCCCTCTTTTTTTATATATACCAGAAATAGCTTTATTAATAAAGAAACGAAAGAAATTACAAGAAAAGAAAGAAAAAGAAAAAACAAGAAATGCAAAAAAGGATAACAAATAAAAGGCTGAATACATAGCAACCCCCCCCCCCCCCCCCACACACACACACATATACAGAGACAAGATCTGGTTCTAGTGAGATGGGTCATGGGTGGTTTAGAAGAGAAGTGAGACTAAATCTACTCTTCATCACTCAAGAAATTGATGACCTATATCAGTTTTTCCCGTTCCAAATGATGGTACATTTTTACACACTCCCACTGGACTTTACCAACTTTCATTTTTTGTTGGTCCCGAAAAACTTTGCCACATTCTTTTTAAAACAATGAACTTGTGGCTCTGTTCATTTGTCTCTCCTCTGCACAAACCTCAACCACGGTTTTGACTATTCTAATTTCCCACCTCAGCACAATATTAGCCCTAACTATATCTTCACACCACCCAACATCAACTTGGTAAAGTTGAGTGGGACAGAGGTAATATGTAGTAGCGCAGTATTATGTACATGAAGATACATTTCGCAAAAGTAGATCAACGCTTTAACTTATTATTAAGTTATTTAACTAAAATGACACCGGATTTTACATTGCAATTTCCCCACATATCATCTTTAAAATATAATCTCATCCTTCCACTTCTTAGATTAAGAATCAAGACAATGAGATCAGATTTTTCTCAAAAAAATAACTTACTTAAGCCAAAGCTACATATGCTTGTGTGTATAATTGATACATTGAAAAGAAAATAATACATTATGACAATTAAAACAATAAATATAAGAAATAAGAATTAACTTAAGATTTTGGGAAAGCATACAAGAGACAAACATTGAAGGATTTCATATACAAAATTACATATACATATATATAAGGAAATGAAGACATTGAGTGAAACAAAAACTAACCTCTTGCTCTGTTCTATTTGTTTCTAGCCATATCTCTTCCTTAAAAGCCTTCTCAGTTCTTTCAGCCAATTCAAGGGTTGCATCATATCTTATTCTCCTTTCTTCTATTTGGGATCTATGTTCATGATCCCTTCGTACAGATATCAAGTGATCTTCAAGTGCTTCTGCACTATCGTAATTCGATAAAAGTCAAGACTACCTAGATCATATTAGAACACTAACATGCTAGAAAAGACAGAACGAATAAGATAAAAAAAAATATTTACTGATATATATGTATTTGGGTACTGTGTACATATATAATTATTTATAACTATATATAATTTTATTGTAAATTTCCATAAAGCTAGTTTTGGTCTGGACCAAAAGTTAATTAAACAATTCAGACTTTGCCTCTCGTTGATATAAATTAAGGAATCAAACATCACATCATGCCATCAATTCAATCTTACTGAAGATAACTACATTTTAATGATGAAATCATGAAATAATCTTACCCACTAGACAAATTTTAAACGAGAGAAACTGCATTTCTAACATCTACCTTAGAAGAAACTAAACATCCAACTGTGAGACTAATAGTCATAGTTTTGTACTAATAGCATGACCAAATTCCTCTTAGGCAGTTAGGTGGACCTCAAAGAACAACTACTGCAAGTATAAAATTGCTAGAACTTGAAACACGAAACGTCACATGAGAAAATGTCATTTTTAAATGAAAACGGTTGAAATAAATTTTTCTTTGGAGTTTCCTAGAATGTTTTCGTTTCCATCATTTGCAATGGAGCCAAAGACTCACTATTTTTTGGCTTGAGAATATGATGGAATAAAGCAAAATGGCTCACTAAACTGTTTGCGCTTCTTTGTTATGAAGCAACAGTCAGTCCATGCAATTCTCGACGCAATTTTCACTATGGGTCATCCGGAAACAGTCTCTTTGTACTTTAGTACAAGGGTAAGACTGCGTACATCCGACCTCCCCTTACCTTACCAAAGGTGGGAGCCTTTGCAGCACTGGGGTAATGATGATGATGATGAGTTTCCTAGAATGTTTTTGAAGCGTATCTAAAGAGAAGCACTACCCTCTAAGAATTTACAAGCATCATGTATCAAAATATAACTAAATAATGAAAGTCATCATGCGATTGATTGTTTGAATTATTACAAACGGCAGCTCATTTTCTGAATATGCTTGAAATGCATTTACTTTTCATACTAACATTCTTGATTTATTAAAAGTAGAACCTTACATTTTGCGCTGATACTGCATGTCAAGCCTTCGATCCATTTCCGATAGTGTTTCATAATCCTTCTCAATAAATTGAAGCTTAGATGAAAATATATGGTGCTCATCCAACAGAGCTGTTTCAAATGCTGATATTTTGTTTCTCACATTTTCCTGTTAATAAAAGGAACGTGTTCATACACATAGAGATAAAAGCAGTAGCCTGTAAAACAGAGTATATGCTGATATAAGTCGAAGATTCACAGTTTAATGAATCTTCGACTTATTTGATGGGCTGGTTAAGAGATTATTTATGGTTAAATTCTTCACAACTTATCAACGGATATCATCCTTTTGGTATGAGTAGTTTATCAGTCTGGGCATGGATGTTCTTATTTGGACATCTTATTTGGGCTACTGGATTTATGTTCTTAATTTCTTGGCGAGGCTATTGGCAGGAATTAATTGAAACTTTAGCATGGGCTCACGAACGTACACCTTTGGCAAATTTGATTCGATGGAGAGATAAAGCGGTGGCTCTTTCTATGGTGCAAGCAAGATTAGTCGGATTAGCCCACTTTTCTGTAGGTTATATATTGACTTATGATGCGTTCTTAATTGCCTCTACATCGGGTAAATTTGGTTAAATTCCCTGTGTTTTTAGCCTTGAAAATATCATTTTTTTTATGTAGGGGGTTTTTATTTCTACATCTAGGCGAAGGCGCGTAGGTGCACTATTCCGCGGTGGGGATTGTAATTTTTCATAAATTTTCCACCTGATTGTCAAAGAAACTGTTTTCATTTAGAAAGAATGACAGGAATAGGACTTACGGCTATTCAAAAGACGAAAATAAGTGGAAATCCCGGTTGGACAAAAAACTAATCAAAAGTGCTGTTTATTGTCTAAAATACCCTTCACTTCTTGAAAAAGGGACGGCCCAATCTCATTCACGCTACACTCCAACATCGACGCTGGAGCCAATCTCGACGCTAAACTCCTCCAAGCCGCCCCTACATCTCACGCCGCCGCCCTGCCTTCGCCGTCACCCTGCCTTCGCCGCCGCCATCACCGTCGCCTCAGGTTCAACTCTCATCTTTCTCTTCTTCTCTCTTCTTGCTGTCTGCAATCTCTCCTCCCATTCCAACCTCTCGCCCGTCAGCATCTTCACCGGCTTCGCTCCTACAGTGGCGAGTGGCGAGTGGCGACGGACCTCTCTCTTCGGCGTCAGAACGAGAGATCTACGGCGACCTCCGATTCTGCTTCTATGGTGGATCTAATCTACTTCAGCGGTGGCGATTCATTTCAAATTCGAGAGACTAGGGTTTCGATCGATATGATCGATATGCTGGAATTAAGGGCTGGGGTGGGCTGGTGAGGCATGGAGCGGGACTGGTACGTGATTGGAGGGACTGGAGGAGGATGGATGGGGCTGGTGTGAGCAGGGGTGGGTCTGGTACGTCATTGAGGGAGTGGAGGAGGAAGAATGGGGGTGTCAGCAGGGGCGGAGGGAAAGGTGGTGGTCGCCGGAAAAAAATGTCACTGGGCGCAGTGGTTGGCGGTGGTCAGCGGTGGTTGGCGGCAATGACTAGTGGTGGTCACTGTCACTGTTGTTTGGTCACTGTTGTCGGTGGTGGTCACTATGGTTGGCGAGGTCAGTTCGCAAGTCACTGTGGCCGACGACAGGTTGGTCACCGTGACTTGCGGGTCAGTTGGAATCACTATAAAAATTGATCTCGGAGCGGATGTCACTTTGTCAATTGGTCACTGGACAAAAGTCACTGCACATTTGGTCACTGTGATGCGGGTCATTGGTGGGACGTATTAATTTTTGGTCACTGGATGAATTTTGTAACTATATCATTGGTCACTGCACATTTGGTCACTGTGACGGGTTACTGTAGCAGGCCAGTGGGTTTGGGCTAAGTAAGGGTGTAACAGTCCCTTAAGTATTATTTAGTCTTATTTTTGGAACTTAAAAGAAAAGACTTTTTTTTGTCCAAATGCTTTTAATTAGTATTATTTGAGGACAAACCCCTTTCATTTAAGAGAAAAATGGATTACTTTGGGAATAGAACACTTATTCTCTATTTTAAAACCCCAAAGCTTTTACAAAATGGAGGAACCAGAAAACAATTATACAATTAATAAATTCACCAACCATAACGTTAAGGCGATGCTCATAAGTAAGCTCAGACAAAGCGCCTTCCACCCACCCAACTTTTTCCATTGGATGCTGGTCTACTTCAAAAGATGCCTCATCTTCGGAAATTGGACCATCACTGAAATACGCGATGTTTTCAGTTTGAGAGAGTTGAGAACAAACAACAATCAAACAATGAACAAAGTAGTTTAAACTCAATAGTATTAGAGTAAGAGTAGTAACTTATTGTAATAGAGTAATAGTAGTTCAAACTCTATTCAGATTTTAGAAGACAAACAACCTCAGAATTTTAAACGCCAGAGACTGTTAAAAGAGTGTGACATTGCTCCTATTAAATTTTTAAATGTAATATGCATGATGTTTCTCATTATTGATTACATGATCCGACACAATCAGCATCTAGGTACCTTGCATAAAGGTCGTCACAAGTAATTTGCATGCCTGGAGTGACAAATTGTTCAGAAACCTCATCTTCACAATCACTTAGGGAGTGTTTGCAAACGCTTAAAAAAAGCGTTTCTCGGCTTTTGGCTTAAAAATGCTAAAATTAGTGTTTTCAAATAACAACTTGTACTCAAAAAAGCGTTTCTCGGCTTTTGACCGAAGAGTGTTTTTTACTTTTTCTATTACACAAAAGGCACATATTTTACCGAACACTACCAACTTTTACTTTTCAAAATCACTTTTTTCTCAAACACTAACAACTTTTACTACTAATCACTTTTTCTAAAATCACTTCAAAAGTACTTTTCTTAAAGCAAAATCATTTGCAAACACTCCCTTAATGTCTCTGCCACCTTCATACCAAAACCCTGCCGCAGAGCACCACTCTTTGAAGCAGAACGTTCCCTATAAATATCAGAAAGCAAGAGCAATATATACATCAAAATATCAAATGGCTAATCGATACAGACTGTATCATACAGTTATATACTAGCCAACCACTGATTCACGATAGAGAATTAAAGAGATACAGACCGAGAAGATATCTTGGTATATGCTGGAAACTTTGTCCTATTAAATTTTTAAACGTAATATGCATGATGTTTCTCATTATTGATTACATGATCCTACACAATCAGCTTCTAGATACCTTGAATTAAGGTCATCACAAGTAATTTGCATGCCTGGAGTGACAGATTGCTCAGAAACCTCATCTTCACATTCACTTAATGTCTCTTCCACCTGCATAACAAAACCCTGCCGCAGGGCACCACTCTTTGAAGCAGAACGTTCCCTGTAACCATCAAAATATCAAATGGCTGATCGATACAGTTATATACTAGCCAACCACTGATTCATGATGGAGAATTAAAGAGATACAGACCTAGAACATATCTTGGTATATGCTGGAAACTTTGGTGATGCAGCAACCTTCCTTTCAATTGAACTAAGCTCCGATAACAGACCATCAAAGCTCCAATCGGGTTGTGGATCAAGGGTAAGCCCATTAATGTCTTCAGGAACCCTAGGTTTCAAGTTCACAGCTACCCTGCTCCGGAAATAGTCCAATAATCAGAATAAGCCACAATAACCGAAGTTCCAAACATTGAAAAATGGAAAAGAAAGAAGAAACAGAAGTAAACTTGTACTCCGTATAACATCAGACAATGAGAAAAAGGTTTTAAATTCTTACATAATGCAGTTGCCCTTTGAGGAATAAAAGTGATGTAATTTGTACGTATACAAAAGCCGCAGGCGGACGCACACTCTGGAGGATTTCACTCCGCAGCAAAGGCGTGGGCTCCAGCGGGACTCTACGCCCGTGCGTTACAATTTCGACGGCTGGACAATGCAACCTCCTATGCGACGAAGATACAGCAGCTCTAAATTATAGGCGACATACGAAATCCATCCGGATGCAGGTTTCTTCCGGCAAAATTTCAGTCTCCTGGTTCGACTTCTCGATCTTATGAGTTTAACATCTCTATATATACTATCCCTAAAAGGGGAGGGACCGTCTTTCCCGCCTACAAGACTTGCAACACACGCGACTAAAGTATTGCCGAATTCCGAATTTCCGAAATTTGATATAAGGTTTTTTATGGTTTGATTTTCAAAATCTTAAATAATCTTTAAAAAAAAAAAAATTCTCCTCAATCAAGATATTAATTTCAAGATAACAACTTACATGCATCTAAATCTAAATCTAAATATATCTAAATATAATAGGTTTCAAAGATACAGTTATGAAAAATTTTGTCATGAGTCATGCTCTAAGTAACAACTTCATGATAATATTCTAGATTCTTTTTCTATTTTAAAATTATGTTCTAGAATTTAGAAGTAATTTAAAGCCCCTAAAATCTAGATTACTTGGTAATTATTACTTTGTAGATTATTCCTATACTACGAAAGTTCAATTCTTTCAATTCGTAGGATGGCATTAGATCGAACTCCTAATATCTTAGAACTATTAAGGTCTGTTTATAACAGCTTCTGCTTTTAAAAAAGTGCTTTTTTAATGAAATGAGGAGAAGTGATTAAATAAAAGTTGATAGTGTTTGAGAAAAAAATGATTTTGAAAAGTAAAAGTGGGTAGTGTTTGGTAAAATAAGTGCTTTTTGTGTAATAGAAAAAGTAAAAGCACTTTTGACGCGGAAGCCGAGAAAAATAAAAGTTGTAGTATTTGGGAAAATAAGTGCTTTTTTAAAGCCAAAAGTTGAGAAGTGCTTTTTTAAAAAGGAGTTGCAAACCAACCCTTAATAATTCTTCCGTATAATGCTAAGAATGAGAACTGCATGACTCCATGTTACATTAGAATATAATTCAATAAAATTAGAATTTCTTAGAAGTTACTCCCTTCGTCCCTATTTTATCTCCCATTTCGGCTGGGCACAGTGGCACACTAATTAAGATAGTGGGATTTGTGTGGTGGAGAGTTGTGCAGAGGAGAGAGAAATGTGTAAGAATGTGTAAGGATGGTTCTAAACCACAAATTCTTTGCCAAAAGAGGAAAGGGGAGATAATTTTGGGACGGATGAAAAAGGAAAGATTGAAGATAATTCAGGGACGAAGGGAGTACAATTAATGTAGAGCGTTGTCAACTAATACTTATAATAAACTTTATAATTTGCACTCAAACTTTTCGTTAGAAATTCATATTTTTTATATTTTAGTGAACTTTAATTTAGATGCAATTTTTTTTACTTAAAAGACTTCGCCAAAACATCCCAATTGCGCTCAAACAAATCAACTCCACAACTATACACGTGAAAGTGTATGTTCTAAAAAATACTTCATCCGTTCTTAAATAAGTGCAATGGTTAACTTTTCACATTTGACGATAAAAATATGACCATTAATATATATTATTCGCTTTTAGTATAAAATATATTTAAGTAAACTTTTATTAAAATATATTTTAGATTCTCTTTCAATTTAGTATATTAATTATAATTATTATACTGCTCACATTAGAATTTAAGTTAGATTAGAATTCATCAGTTCATGTTACAATCAGTGGCGGAGCCAGAAGTCTATAGTTAAAGGGGCCGGTTCTTAAAAATTTTATTTTGCAGGGCCCAAAGTTTAAAATATCAACATATTTTCTATAGATTAAACGTATTTATGCATAATATATATACTTGAGAATTTTTTTCCTTGCAGGGGCCGAGGCCCCCTCCAGCCCCTCCCTGTCTCCACCCCTGTGTTACATTAGTTTAGGACTAAGGTACGATGTTGGAATTTTACTAATTCCAATATCCTAAAAGCTTCCTGATTAAAGTTACAGTAGAATTATACTACGTAATTCAAAAAAAATCCTAAAGCATCCTATATATCCCATGTTACATTAAATTAAAGTTTTAAAAACTAAAATTATGAATTAAGAAATTCTTGGTGTGTTCGATTAGAATTCGTCAAAATTCTATACATTATTTATATAAAATTTTCTCAATGTCTATACATGAGACATTTACTAGTGTTTTACCCGGGCGTTGCCCCGGGCAAAGGTTGTGAAAGTTTGAATACTTTGTAAGATATATATTTTATAGAATATATAAATAATTAATCATTTTACTTAAAATAAACTTTTGTTGATTGTGAATAGTAATTTAATTAAAGAGAATCTATATTAAAAAGTGACATTTTAATGTAACATCACACATACCAAACATCGCATTGTTAGGTTTAAATTGGAAAACCTCTTTATAAACGACATTCACCATCTTGGTGAAGAAATTTGTTTCTTTTGAACATATGAATATCTTAATATATTTTTACTCATTACTCTTGGTATTGCAATGTACATTTGGTCATTAATGAAACTTCTCTCTCAAGGTATAAATCAAATTTTATGTAATAACGTTTAGCCTTGACTTATATATATTGATTGTCATTGCAAAGCTTACCATCACAAGAAATTACTTTATTCAAAAATTGAATAAAGTTGTCATATCATGATAATGAGATTTTCAATATGTGAACTTTATCTTTCATAACTTTTCGAATGATGACTTGTCATACTTGTTTTTTCAATCTAGTTATGACCAATCACATTCTATTGAATAAATCTTGTGCATGATTAATATTCTCCAATAACATTATCGAGGATTCCGATTTTCTAACCAAGGATATGGTTGGGCAATCCAACCATTGAAGCGCTATTAAGATATTCGACACTGTAACTAAGACATGTAACTAAGATATGCAACTGCTAGGCCATCAATCCACGATAGCATGTAGTTACTCATGATGTTTCTTGGTGTGACGTCTAAAATCTTAGAACACGCCTCATATATCAGTATATCTTCATCCCATATAATCAAAGATGCAACATACAACAATTTTGTCTCCACACTTCCTTGATGAATATTGTAGACAGTGCAACAATATTTATGGGAATGGAAAAATCAAATGATGAGTTAAAATTAGCTTCAATAGTAGAAGACGTGGATGAAGTTTATATTTAATATATATATGACTAATAATAATTACTTGCATTGTGCATTTTCTACAAAATTTCAGACCTCAACATGCTCTTGTGATTCCATTTGTTGGGATAAAATGATACAAAATCAATATATACTAAAACGTGTTGATTTTTACACTAATCACATGTCTTACTTTAGACATTTTTGAAAAATATTGTTCAATTCGTCCCGATTTAAATTTCTAAAATTCTCATTTTTTTACTTACATCAGACTATATATATTAATAATCAAAGTAGTGTGTTGGCAAACATGAAAACGAAAGTGTTGTAACTAAAAAAGAACGGAGAAAATATATAAAAGAGAAACCTTTCGGGAGCATACAGTTGGCCATGTTATTATTATATACTTCTAACTAAGCCAATAATTTTTTTAAGATGTAATATAAAATACTAATCCAGTAATTTTATGAAGAATATAAAAATATAGATAAATATGATTTACATTTATTTGGGAGAATCACATAATGTGAATGTACTCACAATTTATTTACTCTTTCCGTCCTGAAAAGGTTCGTCAAGTTGACTTTTCTTGATCAATGACAATCAACTTTGATCAATGATATTTTTTAATACGAAAGTATTTAGAACATGAAAATCATATCAAAATGTCCCCTATTCAAATAATTTTGACAAAAGTATAATTATATGATATTATACAATTATAATAATTAAAAACATTGTCCCAAGTTTGTCATCATTGACCAAGAATAGTCAATATGACGAACCTTTTCGGGACGGATGTATACTATATTATACCTTTTTAGTATTATTTTAATTTGAAAATCTCAATTTGTATTTTAAATTTTTCTCCTATTTTAAGTGTGATTTGGAAGGTAGTTTAATTTGTAAATAAAAAATGTACAATTTTAAAATAAATGAGAAAATTACATCAATTAGTTTTAATTTTCATTGTTGTATCTTATGTAAAACTATCGTTTTAAGTGAATATCTTATAAGGAAAACTAATCATTATACTCTTATCACTAAATACTAAATAAATATAAAACTCATCTTTTTTTTTGAAAATTCAACATATTCGTTTATACTACCACCATCCCAAAATTATTAGCCGTTTCCAAAACTTTGACAAATAATATATATTGGAAATTATTTATAATATTAGAATGATATAAAAATGTTCTTTGTCAAAAAGTACTTTCATAAAAGTATAAAATTTATAACTATCACAATATTATACTAATTAAAACCATGGTCCAAATTTTGACATTTGGCTAAACATTTTGGGTCGGAGGTAGTGTGTGTTTTTTATTAAAAAAAACTATTATTATTAAAAGCAACTTAGTATTGTACAATAGAAAAATTATATTGTTCATATGAATAACACTGTGCAAATATGAAGTAAAATTAGTTAAATTACTTTGTCAAGAAAAGTTATACAAAGTATATTATATTTAAATAAATGGTTCTCATATATTATTGGTCCTCCGTGCATCGCACGAACTTGACATATAGTATTAGTATATAAAGTATTGGAACAAATTATATAAAGTATTTCAAAATAACCAATGAAAGTTATACAAATTATGCGTGATTTTCTAGAACCAATTTGATAAAGCATTATAAAATATGGAATGAAATCCAATATTATAAAACATCCCAAATATGCATATGCTCTCTAAATGGAATGATTATGTTATTTGTAGTTTATTTGGAAATTGATGCTCCACAATATAGTAATATTCCAATCAGGACATCCTGACCGAAACTGCCGTCTGACAGCCACGATTTGGGGCAGTTCCCAGTCGTTTTTTCTTGATGAAATTTTGTGAGCATATTCTATATGAAGTTTAGATTATATACAAACTTTTAACTTAACATTTGATCAGGTAAACAACTTAAAAAATTATTGAAAAACACTTCGCCAAAATATTTATATATAAAATATATGTGGTAGTATTTTCAATAATTTGTTTAACTGACTTCTCAATCAAATTTTAAGGTGAAATTTTGTGGACATAATTCAAACCTCATGAAGAACATGCTCCAAAAAAAGTCAATAAAAACA